TATTTGAGAGAGAGCATGTGAGTGCACAAGTGGGGGAAGGGGCAGGGGCAGAGGGAGAAGCAGACTCCCCACCAAGCAAGGGAGCGCAACACGGGGCTCAATCCCAAGATCCCAAGATCATGACCTGAGTGAAGGCAGATGCTTAACCGACTGAGCCTCCCAGGCGCCCCTCAAAAGGCTTTTAAAATGAATCTCTAGTGATAAGCCTGGGGTCTTCCATTTTCATCTCTAGTGTTTTCAGCCGTTCAAATCACACCACCTGGGAGTTTCTCTGTAAAGCTCTTGCATATCTGCACTTCAGTCAGAGGACTGAGGCTATGACGTGGGCCTGGCACAGACGACCACGTTTTATAGATGACAAAAGAGCTTTTAGTATGAACTGATGGCTTTAGTCAGTCATTTGGCTTTGTGACCATCCTCTCTCTTGGGTCCAGATTTGGTGGTTCTTGTTCTTCAGTGACAATCTTTTTCTTTTCTTTTTTAATCAACAAAAGCAGTATTCCAGCAAATCCTGATTCTTTAGGTTTTTTGTTTTGTTTTGTTTTGCTTTATACCAGACAGTGTTCGTTAGAAGTTGACTAAGAGGGTAACAGACACAGAGTGGGAATTCACTGGATGTATGAGAGAGCTCATGGGACCAGAGAGAAGATGCAGATGTGAAGGATGAGAAGCAGAGGTGTTCTTGGGATCTCTGTAATGGGGCCTAATAGTCTCATCAGGACACTGTCCTCAGTCGAAAGGGATCGTGCCTTCCATGGAAGGGATAGACTCTTTTGTATTCCATTCCACTCAAGATTTGAATGGTTGACTGGAGAAAACTTAATATCTCCCTATCCATGAGCATGGAATCTCCTTCCATTTATATAGGTCTTTAATTTCACTCAGCAAGGTCTTTACGGCTTTCAGAGCACACATTTTGTCCTACACACATCTTGTAAAGTTTATCTGTATACTATGCTTTTCATGTTCTGCTAAAGGTATTGTTAACTTCATTTTCTAATTGTTTGTTGCTAGTATGAAACGATTGATTTTTGTATCTTGTTATCTATCAAGAGCTTTGAAGGCCCTGAGATTTTACCCTACGTACAAACAGCTTTCATGGATGCTGGCAGAAGGCATGAGAATTCTGGGTCAGAGAATTATTACTCACAACAGTAGGAGGAATCAGAGTATCAGCTTTTGGTTCCCCAAGCCCTGATTCCTACAGGGAAAAGTGAGGAGGACCTGCTGATGACTGCACATGCAGTGGGGTGTCCTGCAGAAGAGGAAACCCAAGCTTAAGGAACAAGATTCTTTTATGGTGAGCAGTAAGCTTGCCTGAACTCTGGCCCCAAAGGAAACATAATCTTTATTATATTGAGTAATAAACCTACCCTTTGCTCTAGAGGGAGACACTATTGCTATCATCCAATGCTGTTCACTCTACACGTGTGTATATATGTGTCTATGTACGTGAGTGTGTTTCTCCTTGAAGACAGCCTAGAACAAAGACAGTCAGTGCCCCTCCTTGTAAGACAGGCAGAAACATGAGAGACCCAGGAAGAATCCTCTCCTGACAGTATCTTGTGACCTTGCTAAACTCATTTTTAGCCCTAATAGCATGGTGGAGGGGGGGATTTCTTTGAATTTTCAATGTATACAATCATGTTGATTATGAATAAAGGTGATTTTCCTTCTTCCTTTTTAGTATTTCTAATTTTTCCGTTCTAATTGCATTGCCTAGAACCTCCAGTACAATGTTAAATAAAAGTAGTGAGGGAGGACATTCTCGTTCTCAATCTTAGCAGGACTGAGGTCACTCTTGCTCTTTTTTTTTTTTTTTTTTTTTAAGAGCAGGGGAGGGGGTGGGGAGCCAGAGGGAGAGGGAAAGAGAGAGTCTTAAGCAGGCTCCATGCCCAGTGAGTAGCTGATCTCACAACCCTGAGCTGAAATCAAGAGTCAGACGCCTAACCGACTGAGCCACCCAGGCACCCGACTCTTAAGTACAATGTTACTGTATTTTTCATACTGCCCTTCACCAGATAAGAGTTCCTTCAGTTCCTAGTTTGCTGAGAGTTTTTCCCATGAATAAGGGTTCAATTTTTGTCATATGTTTTTATCTATACCTCTACAGAAGATATAATTGTTTTAAGTATTAATGTGGTAAATTACATTGAATCTTTTTTTATTATTAACATAACGTATTATTTGTTTCAGGGGTACAGGTCTGTGATTCAACAGTCTTACACAATTCACACTGCTCACCATAGCGCATACCCTCCCCAATGTCCATCACCCAGCCACCCCATCCCTCCCACCCCCCTCCACTCCAGCAACTCTCAGTTTGTTTCCTGAGATTAAGAGCCTCTTACGGTTTGTCTCCCTCTCTGGCTTCGTCTTGTTTCATTTTTCCCTCTCTCCCCTATGATCCTCTGTCTTGTTTCTCAAATTCCTCTTATCGGTGAGATCATATGATATTTGTCTTTCTCTGATTGACTTATTTTGCATAGCTTAATACCCTCTAGTTCCATCCGTGTCATTGAAAATGGCAAGATCTCATTCCTTTTGATGGCTGCATAATATTCCAGTGTGTGTGTGTGTGTGTGTGTGTGTGTGTGTGTGTGTGTGTGTATGTATACATCACATATTCTTTATCCATTCATCTGTTGATGGACATCTAAGCTCTTTCCATACATAGTTTGGCTACTGTGGACATTGCTGCTATAAACATTGGGGTGCATGTGCCCCTTTGGATCACTACATGTGTATCTTTGGGAATTACATTGAATCTTTTAAATGTTAAGCCAACATTCTATTCCTGCAATAAGGTGCACTACATTTGTATCTTTGGGAATTACATTGAATCTTTTAAATGTTAAGCCAACATTCTATTCCTGCAATAAGGATGCACCTCCTCGTATATATTGCTGGACTTGGTTTGATATTAAGAATTTTACATTGGGTGGTGGGCTCCCGCCACCAAAAGAATTTTATAGCTATTTTCATGAGGAGTATTGTGCTATAATTTTCTTTTGAGTAATGCATGGTTGGTTTTGGTATCAGAGTAATACCTCATAAATGTTTTGGAAATCTTCGTTCCTGAATTTTCTGAAAATTTGTGTCAAGTAAATTTTTTAAAAAATTTTCAAATATTTGGTAAAATTCACCTGTAAAGCCATCTGTATAGGAGTTTTCTTTATGGGAAGGTTTTTACTCATGAATTTAATTTCTGTAAGAGATATCGGGTGATTCACATTTTTTTTTAAAGATTTTATTTATTTATTTGAGAGAGAGAATGAGAGATAGAAAGCACGAGAGGGAAGAGGGTCAGAGGGAGAAGCAGACTCCCCGCTGAGCAGGAAGCCCGATGCGGGACTCGATCCTGGGACTCCAGGATCATGACCTGAGCCGAAGGCAGTCGCTTAACCAACTGAGCCACCCAGGCACCCCTGATTCACATTTTCTATTTCTTGTGTCAGTTTTGGCAACTTGTGTCTTTCAAGAAAATGTGTCCATTTAAGTTCAATTCCTGAGAATGTTAATGTTCCAGACCGACCCTGACCTTCAAGGCCCTATCAAATGCGCCCGTATTTCCAAGACTCCACCCTCTCACCAGCTAACTAGGACTTAACCTTTCAGAACTCAGCCATCATTTCCTTAGTGTTTATAGCAATTACATGTGTGTAGGGCTTCCCATGTGGGGCCAGTGCATGTGTTGGGGTTGGGGGTGAATCTCCCTGCTGCTTGCTTCCATGGCACCAGGTAATCTCTTTCTTAATAGTCCTCCCATTTGGGGCACGTGGGTGGCTCAGTCGGTTAAGTGTATGCCTTCTGCTTAGGTCATGATCCGGAGGTCCTGCCATGGAGCCCCGTATCGGGCTCCCTGCACAGGGGGAAGCCTGCCTCTCTCTCTCACACTCCCCTTGCTGGGCTCTCTCTCTCTCTCACTGTCAAATAAATAAATAAAATCTTAAAAAAAGAAAATAGTCCTCCCATTTGTATGTCTGCCTTCCCAATCAACCAAAGGCCCACCGTTTGTTTTGCTTATCACCGCATCCCAGCACTTTGCAGAGATCTGGCACAAGACAGGCATTCAGTAAGAGTACTTATCAGAATTACATAGACTATGACTTAAATGGAGAGAACTGGCTTGTTTTACAGAACATCACACAGAGGCCCAACAAAGTCATGAGAGCTGCTTAAGGTCAAAATGTTCCTGGCAAGGCCAAAGAGAAAAGAAGTGGAGTGGTCAGAAGACCAATAAGTCTTCCCAGCCATACTTGTATTGAGGGATCCTGCTTATTTCATGGGGAAAGGAGACGTTTTCTATTCAAGGCTCTGCGCAGGCTGGGGCCTGGGTAGCCTAACTCACTGCCGAAGCCCCAGAACGTGTAGGGGGTCTGTGGCAGAGTTCAACAAATGTCCCACGGAGCGAAAGGAGAATTTCAATACCAGTGGAAAAACTCTCCTAGGGGAAAGATGTTTTAAGGATGCCCTCGCTTTAATCGGAAAGGCTTTTCCGTGGGTGCAAGCAGGCATATGTTTGCCAAGTAACCTCAGGCACTCTAAGTGCTTCAAAATCAGGAAACTGAGGCCGGGAGGTAGAGGGAGGCGCCCCCACGTGCCAGCCGGGAAGACCAGGGCCTGCAGGCCGACCCTTCGCCGCGGTGGTCTTCTCGGCTTCTGCTGCCTCCGGGGAAGGGGTCGGCACCGGGAAGGGTGGGGGCGGAGGCAGGGACCCGGCACCCGGAGCGGCCGAAACCCTCCCCACCCCCCAGCGCGGGAGTCACGCCGGGGCGTCCAGGAGGCCGGGCGCCGGAGGGCGGGTCCCGGCAGCGGAAGGGGCCCGGGGCGCGCGGTTCCACCGCGCCGGCGCCCGCCTCCCCAGCGCGGCCCGGGGCTGCGATCCCGCTTTGCTGGGCAGCGAACGGGGCCTCCCCGGGCGCGGGCGGGCCCGGCGCTCACACGTCCTCGTCCCGGAACCTCAGCCGGCTGGTCTCGCGAGGCTCAGCCGCCCGCCGAGGCCTCGGCCGTCCCTCCCCGGCGTCCGTCCAGCGCAACTCCGCGGCCCGGCAGCCGGAACCCGGGGCCCCGCGCTCCCGCTCGGCCTCCCTCCCGCCGCGCCGCCCGTCCGCAGGCCTGCGTGTCGCGGGTGGGGAGCGAGGTGAGCGCCCGGGAGAGCCGGCCACGTAGTGGGGGGGCGGGAGGGTGCTTCGGGGAGCCGTGTTTACCCGCGGGGGCGCCCCGGGGGTCGGGGCCGCTGGCTGTCCCCCGGCACTCGGTGTGTGGGTTTGCCTCAGGACCGGGGAACTCGGCGAGGAGCGATGATAACCTACTTTACCGAACTTGATCCACGAGCCCGGATTGGCTCTAAGCGCTTTATCTACGGGAACTCACACATTTATAGCCTCCCCGTGCCCTGCGGCTTTTCGCGCGCTCTGCCGATGAGGAAAGTGGCGTCAAAAGTGGAGGAGCTCACAGCCGCGGGCAGGAGGAGACCACCCTCTCCTGACACCTGTGCCTCCCAACACCTGGCGGGAGGCCGGCCCCTGGAGCTCGGCCGGGGTGCCTGCCCTTGGGAGACGCCCAGTCGTCCCCCCCTTGGTCCCCACCCACCGCCCGCTCCCGATCACCAAGTGATCTCCTGCCCTTTAGTCCCGCTGACATCAATCACCGCAAGACTCCTGGGACTCCCGGGCTCTTTCTGCTTAAGTCAGGACATTTTACCCTGGTGTTTTGAAATTGAGGTCAGCAAAAATGGAAAAAGAACGTTGGTGACCCCTTGGGCTGCAGAATGAAAAGCTCCCATAAATGTAAAACAAGCGAAAGCGGCTATACGTGACATCATATAAAAGTAGCAAGCCCAGCCCCCGGCCCTGAATAGATCCTTGACAGAATTTACTTGTTGAAGCCACTGCACACATGGTTACGACTAGTAAGGGACACAGGAAATGGTGATACATAAACATAAAGGAAGGGGCAGACGGAGAATGGGAAGGACCTCTTGACTCCCAATTCAGGTTTGCTGCTGTGAAAAGCCCTTCTTTTCTGAATGCTGAATTCAGGCCCTGAATACTTTTGTCCTTTTGCAGATGTCCACTCTGCCTCAGAAGGAATCCAGGGCACCTGCCACCTGTCTGGGCTCAGCCTCCACACAGGACCTGGACAGTAACTATGGGGATGGTCTGGAAAGAGAATGCTCCAGAAAACCAGACCGGAAGGTGTCAGAGTTCTGTGGAGTGGGTGATCCCACTGCCATGTTGTCCTCGGACAGCTCCTACCTGTCCTCTAGGGGAGGCGTCATTAAGTGGTTCTGGGACTCGGCAGAGGAGGGTTACAGGACCTACCACACGGACGAGTATGATGAGGATAAGAACCCCAGTGTGAGTGAGACCCCTGTCCCCACCGGAGGGACTGCAACCAAGGACTTGACCAAGAGGTTGTTCTAGATGCTGGGGTTACATCCGTGAGCAAAAGCAAAGTTCCTGCCCTCATGGAGTTTTTGTTCTACTGGGGGAGGCAGATGGGGAACAGACCCCCCCCCCCAAAAAAAATCCCTGTAATAGATGGTGATAAGTTCTGTAGAGAAGATAAAGCAGGCTAAAGAGGATAGAGAACGCCGGGGCAGTCTGGGGATGTTGCTGTTTTAGGTAAGGTGGTCACAGAGGGCCGCTTTCCTAAGGTGACGATTCGAGTAGAGACCTGAAGAAAGCGGAGGATTGTATAGTTATGTGTTGCTGTGTAACAAATTACCCTAGATTTCAGCAGCTTAAAAGAAACATTTCATAATTTCTGGGGTTCAGGATCTGGGTGGGTGCCTCAGGCTCAGAATCTTCTGTGAACTTGCGGTGAAGCCAGGGTTGTGGTCTCATCTTAGGCTTGACTTGGTGGGGGGCATGGGAGAGGATCACTTCCAGGTTCGTTCTCGTGGGTGTTGGCAGGCCCCAGTCCCTGGTCACACGGGAAGCTCCTCAGAACTGCCTCATGACATGGCAGCAGGCTTCCCCCAGGGCAGGCAATCCAAGAGAGAAGGAGACCATGAGTACCCAGGATGGAAGCCAGGGACTTTATAACCTATTCTTGCAAGATGTCACATCTGCATATTCTGTATGTGAGAAGTGGGTCACTAGGTCCAGCCCACACTCATGGGAAGGCCAAGGAAGGGTGTTTGGAAGGGCAGGACCACTCCCGCTTTGCTTTTCTGCCTCGGTGAGCATCTCGGGTCTTCCTTCAGGACCCCTCGGCTATGCTCACCCTGCCTCCGTATCTCTGTCTCCAGGGCATCATTAACTTGGGCACCAGCGAGAACAAACTCTGCTTTGACCTGCTGTCCAGTCGGGTAAGTCCTGGTGCACCTCTGGGTGGTATCAGTAGCTCCCAGGGACTGTCTGCTCTTGGACTTCCCTTGAAGGCTTCCCTGACCAGAGCCTGCTGCTTGCCTCCGCAGCCCTGGCCTGAGAGTCAGCCCACCCGGTTCCAGATCCACCTCAGGGACAAGTTTCTCTGTGGTGTTGGGCGATCACTTCCCTGTTCTGGTCCTGCTTCTTCATCTCTTCCCCATACTCAGTCCCTCCTGCTTTCATGGGGGGGGGGGCGGTGGGGGGGGAAGCACTCAGTGGGGTGTGGTCAGTATTTATCAACCACATCTGGGGTAGGGAGGACTCTGATTTGCAGCTTTTGCCAATTCCCGTAGTGTAAATACTCCCACCGTGGCTGATTTCAGGCCACGGATGTGACATCCCTGCACTCAAAGTTGGGCAAAGGGGGGTTGTGGCACCCATTATGTAGTGTGCCCACCATGTAGACACAAAGATGGAAATAGCCTCAAGAACACACATAAACATGTAATAACATAGGGACACCTGGGTGGCTCCGTTGGGTTAGCATCTGCCTTCGGCTCAGGTCATGATCACAGAGTCCTGGGATCGAGCCCTGCATAGGGCTCCCTGCTCGGCGGGGAGCCTGCTTCTCCCTCCGCCTGCCACACCCTGCTTGTGCGTGCGCTCTCTGACAAATAAATAAATAAAATCTAAAAAAAATGTAGTAACATAATCAGAAGCAGTGATGTTTTAGTTATTACCTTTGTTTTTAGTGTAATTTACTTATTTATATGTTTATAGAATTTAATTATTTTAAATGGCTGTTTTTTTAAAACACAGCATGTAAAATTCCTGGAAACTTCATAGTTTGAGCCATTCCTAGCAAACCAGTGAAAATGCCTGATAAATGTGTCTCCCAAGGCCCCACACTCAAAGTTTAGGATTGTAGAGAAAGCGACGGCTAACCCAAAGGAACTTATTTCCGAGGGTGACAAATCCAAGACCCAAGGGGAGAGGGGTGTAGGAAGGGGGCTTAAGATGCGTGTTCTCTCTAGCAGTTCCCTGCTGCACTGTCCAATAGAAGTAAAACGTGAGCCACGAATATAACTTAAAATTTTCTGTTAGATAAATAAAAAGGAATTGGTAAATTCATCTTAGTAATATATTTTATTTAGCCCCATACATCCAAAATAGGACCCTTTCAACATGTAATCAATCTAAAAAATTAAGATACGTTACATACTGTTTTCATATCAAGTGTTTCAAATCCAGTGGGTCTCAGTTCACACTAGGCGCATTCCAAGTGCTCAGGAGGCGCACATAACTACGGCCTTGCTGCTGGACGGTGCGGCTCCCCGGGCCGAGGGAGAGACAGAAGAGGCTGGAGTCATATACAAGTAGCTGACTGCCCTTCTTCTTTGGTTCACTCCCCAAGACTTCCACCTTTTCTTGACATTGTGTCTGTGATGCCCAGCGAGTTACTAAGCCCGTACCTGGTCAGGGTGGGGATGATGTAGAAATGGCCACGCTTTCCGAAGCGTAAGGTCGAGCTGAGCCTGCAGGAACACAATGGCCCGAGTCCCTCCAGAAGTTGGAGCCAACACCGAGGTGATGGCACCCAATTCTGGGACGCCTTTTGTCACTCCAGGGAGAAGCTGAGTAGCGTGGTCTCTATCATTGCCTGTACAAATCCACCCCCCTGGGTTCTTTATGAATTTATCTATTCAAATGATTTATGTATTTATTAGAGAGAGAGAGAGAGCACAAACATGGACAGGGCAGAGGGAGAGAGCTCGAGCAGACTCCCTGCTAAGCACGGAGCCCAACACGGGGCTCGATCTCACGACCCTGAGATCCCGACCTGAGTGGAAATCAAGAGTCAGATGCTTAACAGACTGAGCCACCCAGGCGCCGCCACCCCTCCAGGTTTTGAGATGGCAGTGTTGTTTAAAGAGAACTGGATTAGGAGTCAGACCTTCTGGGTTTTGTCTCAGCTCTGCCACTTGCTAGCTCCATGACCTTGGCTGAGTCTCCTCACTTTTTTGAGCCTCGGTTTCCTCATCTGCAAAATAGGCAGGAGAGTGCTGTGCCTGTGCCGTCTGTCTGCTGGTTTCTCTGATGAGCGGACCAAGGCCAGGCTTTACTGGCGCGGGTGCAGTGTGGATGTGGGTGCAAGCGCCGGTGGTCACCATGAGGGTGTGTGGCCCTCAGCCCCGCTCTTCCCTCTGTCCCCAGCTGAGTCAGAGCGACATGCTGCGGGTGGAGCCAGCCCTGCTGCAGTACCCTGACTGGAGGGGACATCGGTTGTAAGTAGCTGCCGTGGGCCGGTGGTTCTCAGCCCCGGGTGGTCTTGCTCCCCAGGGGACCTAGGGCATCTGGAGACACTTCTGGTTTTCACAACTGGGAAGGGGCTCTTACTGGCATTTACCGGGTAGAGACCAGTGATGCTGCTAAACCTCCTGCGAGGTGCCCAGGATAGCCCCCACAACAAATAATTATCCCACCCCAAATGTGAATATGGCAGGTGGAGAAAGCCTGCCTTAGGCCGAGGGCCCATCCTGGGGGCCTGGCGATCTGGGGGTCTCCCGGAGCATCTGCAGGGATCTAGTCCCTCTGCTGGTTCCTCCCCAGCTCAGGAGCTCCGTCGCTTGCGTTCCCTGGGCCGGAGGACTGCGGAGGGCCTTCAGGCGTGGAGTCCTTGTCTCCGCTCTCTCAGTAGATTTACAGGAACCAGGACCAGCCTTGGGGGGCTGCTGGCGAGGGCGCTTTCCTCCTGGTCAGATGGGGTGTGCTAAATAATGCTAATTGGAGTTGGTACTTAGTGAGCACCTGCTGGGGGCAGCCGCTGTTCCAAGGGCTTAGTGGCCAAACAGGACTTGGTTCCAAAGCGCATGTTCCTATAGTAATGAGGATGGAGGGCCCCGGAGACAGCCCGCTGGCTCGAGTGTGGACTCTGCCACTGACCAGCAGGTGACTTAGTTCCTTCAAGCCTCAGTTTCTTTGTCTGTAAAATGGGAATAATAATAGCATCTTAGGGGTGTTGTAAAGATTGAGTGAGTAAAATTCCCCAGGTAACTCCTGCATAATGCACATGCCGCAACAGTGACTCTGACGATAGCTGTTGTTACAGTAACGTTATTGCCATTAGTTAGATCTACATGTAGCTGGAGCTGCTTATGATATCCCTGAGGCCTGCGGGTTAGGTGGGTCAGGCGTCCTGGAACTACAGAGGAGGCAAGTCTCCACTTGTGGGTAGTGGTGGGGCAGGGGGCTTGTGGGCCCTGCGGTGTGGAGACCACGCTGACCCCACTGCCCTCGTGGAAAACCAGAGAAGGTTAATGGCATCTGGGTGAAGATTCACCAGAGGAGCTTTGGGATGGACCGTGGGTTGGGGATCATCTGACAAGCGCCGCCCATCTCTCTGTCTGATTTCCAGCCTCCGGGAGGAAGTGGCCAGATTCCTGTCTTTCTACTGCAAGAGCCCCACACCCCTTAAGCCAGAGAATGTGAGTATTCCCCTCCTCAGCTCTCCCCTGCTCTTCTGCCCACCTCCCCCATCCCATGCAGGGGTAGCGTGGGCTTGAGATCTGCCTTTCACTCGGTTTTGACGTGTTTCCAGGTGGAATTAGGAACACCCCCATGCTTTGTCTTCCTCATCCTGGATATTTAGGATATAATTTGGTTACAGTTTCTGCTCCAGTTTGTTCTATGGTCCCTCGTTGCCTGCATACCTTCGGGCAAGACTCTCTGAGTGACCAACTCCCTCTTCCTTGCTCTGTTGATCCAGAGCGTGGTCCAAAGAATAAGCCACAGATGCACTTGGCTGTTAGTCAGGAGAGGCCTTTGGCTTCCTCTGGTGGCTTTGCTGTGACAGAGGGCACCAAGTTGGGCCTGTCCCTCCCTCCTATGCCAGCCTGGAGACAGCTGTAGGTCCTTGCTCCCTCCTGGACGGATATTCATCTTTGTCACATGGATGTGTCACCTGCAGGTGGTGGTTCTGAATGGCTGTGCCTCTCTCTTCTCGGCTCTGGCCACGGTGCTGTGTGAGGTGGGGGGTAAGTGACCCACGGCCTGCTCAGCTTTGGGGGCCGCCCTACGCCTGCAGGGTCCATAGTTGCCTGTCTTTGCAGGTTGCATTAGAATGCCTTTGGCCATAGTAGACTACGAGACTGCAAGGGGCTTAATGGGTGGCTTGACCAGATACCCGGATGTTGGCAGTTTCAGAGGTCAACGTGATGCCAGGGTTCGGGGCCTGTCTCTGCGATGACCTTGGTTTTTCCCTTCATGTGATGGCTGTCGCATCCTTACGTGACAGTGGGTCCTAAAGCAGGGAGAAAGGAGAAAGGCTGTGACTTGCCTGTGTCTTTGTTTTATTGGGAGGGGGCAGGGGAGATACTCTTTCCCAAAGAAAGTCCCAGCAGAGCCCCCCTTACATCTCGCTGGCCAGAGCCGCCTCACAAACCCATTCCCAGAGCAGCCCCTGGTAGATGGGTAAGAACCACGGCTGACTTCAGCCACTCGTGGCTCATCCCCAGGGGCTGGGGGAAGAGGCCCCCCGTCCTCGGACTTATTGCTGGTCATCCCTGGGAAATCTGGTGCTGTCTTAGCCAGAAAATTGGAATGGCTGTAGAGCAGGCAGCCAGCACCATCTGCTAGAGGAGCGTAGTGGGACGCAGAGCGGGTCCTGGTCAGGGGTTATTGTCACCAGAACAGAGGCCCACTCATACCAGCTTCGCTGACAGTGATTATATGGGTGAGCTTTACTGACCACATGCTGTGTTGCAGGCACCAGCCTAAGGCTTTACACATAGGCCCATTTAATTCTCACTTCTCCCCTCTGAGGTAGGTCCTGTGCCATTCCCATGTCCCAGATGAGGACATCAGGGCACAGGGGGTTAAGTGACTTGTCAGATTCACACACAGAGATAAGAACCAAGATTTGAACCATAAGAAGGATAGGATAGGCGATTTCCTACCCATTCTCGAACAGTCAAGAACGGGATTCAGTGTCACGCTCTCCACCTCTCGAGGGGCTAGACAGTCCCTCCTCCCCCCCTTTGTATGTGCAGAGCTCTCTCTGGACCTTCCGCAGCTCCCGTATGGCCCAGGGCAGCTGCCCCAGCTCCACCTGCTCATGACCTTTCTGCTCAGGTGCACGTTCTCACCTCCTGAGTGTCTGTGCTTCCTGGAGTGAAGTCGTGAGAGAGAGCACACACATGATGGGTTTCTCGCCAGCCGGTTGTTGGCTCCCTTGGGTCCCTTGTTTCCCTCTAGCCCACTCCCCATGGCTGGGGTAGGGAACATGTAGGACAAAGCTGCCTCTTCCAGAGCTGTGAGTGGGGCAGACTGGGGGAAGGGAGGAAAGCTTGACTCGCATCCTCTTCGGAACTGGGGGAATGCCTGTCTCTGCATTAGGGTACTCCTTGGAAGTCATCAGCCCCTCCCCCGACCCCCCAGCTAGAATCTTCCACATGACATGCCTCCCAACCAGATGGCTTCAGCCTTGTGTTTGAATGTCCCCAGGGAGGGAGAATCCACTCCTCCTGAACACACTCTATCTCTGGGCAATTCTGTATGCTGTCACGTTTGTCCGTTTGTCAAGCCCAGATCACCCCGCAGCTTTGCCTCGCTGGATCCCAGTCTGTCCTTGGAGTGAGCCAGCACGTGGGGTGCTTCAGAGGGATCCTCTGAGGTTCAGTGTCCTCACTGGTAAAATTAGGGTGACAAGAGTACTGATGTCACAGAGTGATTGTGAGGCCCAAATGAGATAACACACAAATACACATTTAGCCCAGTTCCCAGCACGTAGTAAGTGTTCAGTACATGTTAGCTACAGATGATCAGAAAAGCGACTCATATCAGTGGATCCAGGTGTTAGTGAGAGCTTGGGAGTTGAGACGGAGTGTAGCCCCGGTGTTCCCCCAAGGACGTGGAAGGCTGGGAGGGGCATGGAGCCTGTGGATGGGGTTGACCGGGGTGTTCTGGCCAGAGGGTGACAGGCCCTGGCCCATTCCTGCCCTCAGAGGCTTTCCTGATCCCTGCCCCTTACTATGGAGCCATCACACAGCACGTCTATCTCTATGGCAATGTCCGTCTGGTCTGTGTCTATCTGGACAGTGAGGTAAGAGTTCCTGAGACCCCAGGTAGGACCCGGGCCTTCCTATAGGGGAAGACTTTCCTCTCTCTGAATTTGAGGGCAGACATGGGAGGAAGTCCATGCTAGGGTCACAGCTGCAAGGGGAGTAGAGCCTTCTGTTGCCCATGGCTGTCCGTACCTGGGTTCCCCTGGGGCTCCCCAGGTCCTGGCTCTGAGGTCCCTGGGGTCAGTGTAGAAGCCAAGGGCAGCCGCAGGGAGACTACATCAAAATGGTGGGGTGAGGATGGGGCAGAGCAGACCTCAACATGTAAGTTCTTAGGCCCCAATCGGAGGATCTCTGGGGCCTCTTCCTGACTAAGAGTGCTGAGGTGTCCCTGATGTGATGGGGTGGGCAGCAAGGAGGGGAGTGACCCTGCCGGTGTTTTTTCAGCGACTGCTCTAGGTAGGCTAGAGATGACAGGTAGGAGAGGCCCCAGAAGCTCAGGTTTGGGGGATCACTGAATTGGGCTGGTGGCTTTTTTCCATCTTTTTTCAGGTCACTGGGCTGGACACACGCCCCTTCCAGCTCACTGTGGAGAGGCTTGAGATGGCCCTGCAGAGAGCTAATTCTGAGGTCTGGGGGTCAAGTCAAACCCAAGGCTGGGAGGAGTGGGTCTGAGCAGGGCACAGACTTCCTCTGGCTGATCTCATCCTCACCATGGGGTTGGCGCTCCCTGATGGGGTTGGGGTGTCCGATGGTCACAGGGAACCATTCTGGGGGTTAATCAGGAGTCCATGGAAGGTTTTCCCACTAGAGACAGACTCTGAGACCTGTGTACAAAGAGTCAGCCAGGGAACTCGATAAACACCCCCCACCCCTGCTGCACCCGAGTTTGATTCAGTGGATCAAGTGTGGCGCTTAGTGGTCTGTCGTTCAGCAGTCTCCTTGGTCATTCGAGGACGTGATTCCCCTGTCACGTCCCCGTCTGAGGACACCTCCTGAAGAAAGGCAGAGACAAGTACTACTCCCGTGGTTCCCTTCCAGTCCATCTGTGGCCATTACAGTCATACGTGCCTCCTGTAGGAATTCTAAAAGGGCAACCCCCCGCCCATTATTCTACCAACAGAGGCAGCCTTTACTGGCATTTGGGCCTGTTTGCCTCTGGGCTTTGTTCTCTGCCTCTGGTTTCCTTCCCTGTTGACACGATGCAGATATGGATGTCTGCCGCAGATACGTGATTCTCTGCCCTTGTCCGCTTCACGCTGAGTTGTGAACGCGTTCACATCCCATTTCCCCGGGGGCCCGCCCAGCCGCCGGCCCCATTCAGTGGGAGCGTCTGGCTCTGGCCTTCAGGAGGAGCTGAGCATTTCCTGCCCCACTGATGGTTTCAGGGTGTGAAGGTTAAAGGTCTCATCCTCATCAACCCCCACAACCCTCTGGGCGACATCTACTCCCCAGGAGAGCTGCGGAACTACCTGGAATTTGCCAAGAGGTGAGGCACCCCACAGTCACCCCTCAGAACGTCCTGGTGGACCAGGATTCCGGTGCAGGTTTTGGTACAGACTCTAATACCCTGTCCACTCCGCTGTGGGCTCCCGCCTGCTTTGGCCCCTCCCCAGCAGTGGGGTGGGGGGGCCAGCAGTTTGTGGGTTGCTAGTTCTCTCTCTCCCTCTTTCTTTTTAGGACAACAACTGTCCTGTATTGTACCCCCCACCCCCGCCAGGGGCCGGGTACCCTGCTAAGCTCTTTACATGCCATATCTCACGCAGTCCTCCCGGTCACCCTATTAGTCATCACGCGGTCATTGTCCCCAGGTTACTGAGCCTTGGAGTGAGCAGTAGGGCCAGACTTGAATCTAGGTCTGTCTGTACATCCCTGTTTGGCACTCAGTTGGGCCCTTCTTCCATGGAGGTGCCCGAGGCCTCTGCCTCTCCTCCACAGTGCTTCAAAAGCCCCACTGTCATCTGCTTTGTGGGTGCGGCTTCCTGTGTGAAAATTCAGACACGAGAAAGGTGTCTCTGGAAAAAAGTTTGGTAGCCCTGGGCTCGACCCTGGTCCCATTGGGTTTCTGAGCCATTGCTTCCCCACCGTGGGGGACCTATTTGGCCTGCAGAGCAAGCCGTCTCCTCCCCGGCCCTGTCCCTCCAGGCACAAGCTGCACGTGATGGTGGATGAAGTCTACATGCTGTCCGTGTTTGAGAAGTCGGCAGCCTACTGCAGTGTCCTGAGCCTGGAAGGGTGAGTCTGCCCTGTCACAGCCACCTCTGCCAAGCCCCGGTCCCTGGGCCCCTGTGGCTTAGTCCACAGGGCGTGACCTGTCCCGGGGCAGTTCCTCTTCCATCCAGCTGGTCCCACTGTCCTCAGATCCCCTAAAGAGAAGATGGGAGGGCTGGGCTGCATCAGGGGTTTTCAAATTGTTCTGTGGGGTTTCTGAGAGCTCCAAGGAGGGGCTGGGCCGTAGGATTCCCGAGGGTGGGATGGGCTGCGAGGGTGGGAACTGGCCGGTGCTGTCCCCCTCATCTCCAGAGTAGCTTCAGCTTCATCACCATGCGTCCACTCACTCACTCACTCACTCACTCATTCAGCAAATCCTTCTGCAGCCCCAGGCGTGTGCCAAGCACTTCTAGCTGTTTGGGCTTTTTCATTAGATTTAGTCTGAGCCAAGAATCTGTGGCTGCAACAGCTTTGGAAACTCTTGGACCACATCACCTGTGAGGTCTGTAAGTGTGACACTGAGAGATTCTAGTAGTTCCTGTTCTTTGTTCGGAACTTTGGACCCTGTGAAGTCCTTTCCGTTGGTTCTCTCAGCTGGTCCTTACGAGGCTCTGCCAAGTGGACGGCTGTTACTCCTGTTTGTTTATGGATTAGGAAAGTGAGGGGCAGAGAAATAGAGACTGGTCACCTACTCTGTGCCAGACATGCTCGGTGCTGGGATACAACATTGAGCGAGAAAGACATAGGCCCCCCTCGGGTGGAACTTTTGTTTCTAGCCAGAAAAAACATTTTAAAGATTTTATTTGAGAGAGAGAGATTGAGAGAGAGAGAGAGGGAGTGAGCAGGAGGGAGAGGGAGAGAGAATCTTAAGCAGACTCCACGCCGAGGGCAGAGCCGCACTCGGGGCTCAGTCCCACAACTGCGACATCATGTCCTAAGCTACAACCAAGAATTGGATGCTTAACCAACTGAGTCACTCAGGTGCCCCCAGAAAAAACATTTTAGTGGCTAAATACACAGTCATTTGATTGTGGCTTTGATAAGTGCTAAAAAGGACAAGTCTGGGGAGGCATGAGGGGACCTCCTTGGTGTCCCCAATGGGCCCGGTCTACTGGGAGGTGCTCAGAGAAGATCTGTTTGAGGAAGTGGAATTGGAGCTAAGCTCTAGATTGGGGGTCGGCAAATATTTTTGGATCAGATGGCAAATATTTAGGCTTTGTAGGCCTACGGTCTCTCACTCAGCTCTGCCATATAGCACAAAAGCGGCCGTAGACAATATGTACATGAAAAAGCATGGCTGTGTTCCAATAAAGCTTTATTTACAAAAACAGGCTGTGGGCCGGGTTTAGCCTGCAGGCTGTAGTTTGCTGACCCTGGCTCTAAGGATGTGTGGGAATTGGTGATTCAAGAGATGAAACCAGGGCTTCACACAGAACCAGAACCAAATTCATCCAAACACGTATGAGCTTTTGTGGATCTGTGTTGCCTCCGTTCCCATACTGTGTTCTCTGCAGGTTGCCTGACCCCCAGAGGACCCATGTGATGTGGGCAACCAGCAAGGTAGGTTCCTGGCTGGCCTCGGGATGTCAGGGAGGTGGGAGGGCAGAGAGGTGGGTGGAAACAGCTTCCTCGGTGGAGGGCTGGCCACTGCTCAGGGTGCCTTTCTCCGTAGGACTTCGGGATGTCTGGGCTCCGCTTCGGCACGCTGTACACAGAAAACCGGGACGTGGCCACTGCGGTGGCCTCCCTCTGCCGCTATCACGGCCTCAGTGGCTTGGTCCAGTACCAGATGGCACAGCTGCTCCGGGACCGTGGTGACTGCCTGGGCCTGGTCATTTGAGAATTGGAGGAGAGGGGAGGTTATAGCCAGTCGGGGGTGGGCCAGGGATCATGGGTGCTTCTCTCATGAGAAGAATTTAGGGTGGTGTTCGAGAACCCAGGGCCATGACTGCGTTCATAGCCGACTCCGTCACTTCCTGGCGGTGTGGCACATTCCTTCACCTCCCCAAACCTTAGTTCATGTGATTTGTCAGTTCGAATGATACCTGGCATATAATAGGCACTTAGTCAACATGAACTCATCATTAGTAGCTGTGAGTGCTTGAAGAAAGAGACAGTAGAAGCGACAAAGCGAGAACAGTTATAGTGGAAGTATCTCTGCCTACGAGGATCTTGGATAGTGAGTCTGGATAGCAAAGGTGATCTGTAATTGCCACCTTTTATTGAGCCCTGCTAGATGTTCTCATTGCACCAACTCATTGGTCCCTCCCCAGAATCCTAGGAGGCAGACATTCCTGTACTCTCCCCCGGTATTTTATAGATGTGGGAATGAGGACTGGATACTATACACCTGCTATAACAGCTAAAATTTAGAACAGTAGTGACGCCATCATGTTGGCGAGGATGCGGAGCAGCTTCAACTCTCACGCTGCTCTGGGAAGGGAAGGGGGCGCGGCCCCTTTGGAAAGCAAAGTGGCTTGCAGAGTTAAACACACACTTCCCAAATGGCCCTGCAATCCCACTCCTCGCTGTTTACCCTTACAGTCACACAAAACCCACCAAGTGAATCTTTTTTTTTTTTTAAAGATTTATTTATTTGAGAGAGTGAGAAAGAGAGAGAGAGAACACATGAGAGGGGGGAGGGTCAGAGGGAGAAGCAGGCTCCCCACTGAGGAGGGAGCCCGATGCGGGACTCGATCCCGGGACTCCGGGATCATGACCTGAGCCGAAGGCAGTCGCCCCCAAGTGAATCTTTATAGCTGCTTTGTTCACGATCACCCCCAAAGTCCTTCCAAGGATGAAGGAGGGGACAAGCTGGGGTACATCCACACAATGGAACATGGCTCTGCAGCGGGATCTAGGGCCACACAGAGTAAGCTCAAAGGCATTGTGCTGAGTGTAAGAGGCCAGTCTCAAAAGGTGACACGACTGTCTGATCCCACTTCTGTGACATTCTGGAAAAGGCAAAACCAGAGTGACGGAGAACAGACCAGTGGTTGTGGGGCAGCAGGGGAGTGACATGACTATGAACAGCATGAGGGTGTTCCTTGGGGCGAGGGAACAGTTCGGTGTCCTGCCTGCAGGGGGTGGGTTACACAGATGTGCGCATGTGTTAAAGCTCGTCAAAGGAGGGTGGGGCGCCCGGGTGGCGCAGTCAGTTAAGCATCCAACTCTTGGTTTCCAGTTCAGGTCATGATCTTAGGGTTGTGAGGTCCAGTCCCACACTGGGGTTAGAGTTAGATTCTCTCTCTCCCTTCCCTTTGCCCTCTGCCCACTCCCCCTGCTTGCACACTTGTTTGCTCTCTCACTCTCTCTCTCAAAAAAAGAAATGTCAAATCATTTAAAAAAACAATTAAAAAATCCTCATCAAATGGGACACCAAAGAAAGTTCATAGAAACGCCGAGGACAGGGAGGTGAAGTTGCCCTAGGCCCTGCATCTTGTCAGTGGCCAGGCTGGGATCTGAACAGCAGCGTCTGTGGCTCGGAAGCATCAGTGTGTGAGTGGGCCATCCTTCAGTTAGGATATGCCCCCTAAGGGACTCTGTGTCCGCAGGACTGGGAGCTGTGAGGCCAGGTATCTGAATTTCCGGTGCTTTCTACTGGACATGGACTATTCCTGCGGCCCCCATCCACCAGCTGGGGAAAGGGTCTTGGCAGCTCGTGGCCTTTCTCTTGTCAGCATTTAGACTCGTGGGACAGCGTGGAGGATTGGTGAGAGATTTATTTGTTGGCTTCTCTTTTCACCCAAACAGACTGGATCAACCAGGTGTACCTACCGGAGAACCATGCCCGGCTCAAGGCTGCCCACACCTATGTGGCAGGAGAGCTCCAGGCCCTGGGCATCCCCTTCCTGAGCCGCGGGGCGGGCTTCTTCATCTGGGTTGACCTGAGGAAGGTAACGCAGGTGGGGCTGCAGGTCTGGGGGGTAGTTGAAGCCTTCCCCCGCAGGTGAGGGGCAGGGGTGTCTCGTCTGCAGCCTGAACCCCTGCCACCCTCCCAGTTCCTGCCTGAGGCCACCTTTAAGGAGGAAATGCTGCTTTGGCGCCGCTTTTTGGACAACAAGGTGCTGCTATCCTGTGGCAAGACCTTCGAGTGTAAAGAGCCCGGCTGGTTCCGCTTGGTCTTCTCGGACAAGGCCCACCGGCTTTGCCTAGGTAAGTGACCTCCCCTCCCTGCCGCACCCTTCATTCTGCACTCCCCCTTCTCGTCCCGCTTGTGGCTCCAGCAGCCTCAGCCCTGCCCAGCCTGCCCTCCCAGCCGTCCGTGCTATGGGGCTCTCACTTCTCCTTCCCAGGGATGCGGAGGGTCCGGCAGGTGCTTGGGGGCAAATCCCAGGTGGCCGAAGAGCCCCATTCCTGTCAGACCCGGGAGCCAAGGAGCCAGCACAGGTGAGCTGGTCGTCGCTGGGGGACAGCAGGGCCTGGCAGCCACTGCCAACCCGAGCCATTTGGGGCTGTGAAGACCGACGGCGGATGGGCCATTTGTCAGGCGGGTACCCGATGTGACCTCACCCCCGAAAAAGAACCATTCCTGGCCCCTCTCAGGGGCAGTGAGAGACTCCTTCGGCTGTGCTCTGCTTTGGCCCCTCCCCCTCTAGTAAACAAAACTGGGAGAACCTAGAAGCCTCTGTGGTGAGTAATGTACAGAATGGAGGAGTCGTGACTGCTCCTAAGCACAACCCTTCACCCCCCTGAGATCCTGAAAAGAAAACAATGTGTACCTTCTTTGGATGGCACCGTCCTTCCTCCTTTGTTGCCAGGGAAACAAGTCAGAGGACCAACACATATAAGAGACAACATGCCCAAGAAATAAACAAGGGTGATAATTCCCAAACCCCAGGAGGAAGGAGTTAATTCTGTGTGTTCCTATTGTTCTCCCCCCGTGAGGGTGTGTGGGCCCACAGGACACCTGGCACCTGGGACAGGCCTCCGCTTGGGCCGCGGTGGACAAGACCCCACGGGGGCAGTTGGGAAGAGCTGCTCTGCTTCTGGGATGCTCTTCCTCCTCCTTCTTCCCGGCAAGGAGCTGCCTTCCGACATCTCAAACCCGAGTGATCTAGCCACGACTACTGGGGGGGAAGATAAGGGCTGGACTTTGAACAACCAGGCTGGCCTTTCCACCCTAAGCAGGCAAAGGGCCACTCAGGCCATCCTCAGGGCTGTTTGAGTTTAGAGCCCAAGTGGGCTTTCTCAACTGACCTTAAAGCTGTGTGCAGCAGACCCTTCTCTGGGGTCTCCACTCCGGTGTAGAAAAGCGGTCTCTTTCCTTGCTTCTGTTTTAAGATAATGTGGGTGCAGTCAGTGTGTATTTTCTGCAAATCATAGTATTTGATACAGGATTTGCTTTCCTCTACCTTTCTGCCTTTCATCCATTCATTCCTTCTCCCTGTCTTTTCTTGAATACCTTCTATGTGCCAGGCACCGGGCTGATAATTTCTGTGCATTATTTCTAGCTTCGACAATCCTGGGAAGCTGACATTATCACCCACCACTTGAGACATGAGGCCGTGGAGTCTCAGAGAGCTGGAATGCTATTCTCAAAGTCACGTAGCTAGAAAGTATCAGAGCCGGGATTCAAAGTCAGGTCGGTTTGGTTGCGAATCCTGTGCTGTTTGTACCCTGCCCAAACAGGCACCAGCAGGATGCTTTGACTCTTTCCAGTCCTGAGAACTGGGCTGTGTGTTGTCATCGTCAGCACCTTTAATTGTTGTTCAGTGCCTTTGGCCAAGTATCACTCCTTTCTATTCCCACTTCCAGGAAACACTGGTACTAGGATTTGTTGGTTCTGGAAAGCCTTCAGGTTTTATGGGTCAGACTAAGAACGGCCACATCGAGAGCCCTTTGCATCCCCTTTAAAAACCTCTGTTGTGACGCTGCCGTTGTGGTTCAGAGTCCCCCAAGGAAGGACCCCTGTGATACATTCCGTTTAGAATTCTCAGAAGAAGGACTTCTAGTTCTTTAGAGGGAATCCAAGCTGGCTTCCTGGCAGAGGCAGACCGAACCTGGGATCTGAGCCTGAACCGAGTCCGCACGAGCCCAGCTGGCTGGTGCTGTGTGAAGGGATGTGCTCCATATATATCTCTCTCTGTGGAATCTGGGTCTGGCATATTCTATACCCATCTCAGTGCTCACCTTTGTGCTCACCTTTGTGCTCACCTTTGTGCTTTGGCTCCTTACAACAACCAGCCAGCTGTGTATGAGCATCGCCCCAGGGGCCCCTCGGCTGCTCCAAATGTCACTTTCTGTCCCAGGCTTCTCTGACAGCCTCATGGGGCGCATGCAAACTGGGAACGCTGAAGGAGTTGACACTCCTGGGGCTATCCTTGAACAACAGGGGACAGGAACCAGGATGCATACCCCTGTGTGCAGGTGGACCGCTGTGCGGTAGACAATTCTGACCTTCCGCATGGCTCCTCAAAGAGTCCTGCTGGGATTGGGCCCCGGGTGCCCAGGGCAGTAGCCTGCTCTGTAGCATACCGCTGGCCAGGCAGGCTTTGTTCTCTTAGACTTATTCCGATCTCTCCATTCCCTAGGATTGCTTCCCAGAATGGCTACCTGCATCAAGACTCAGTCTCTCAGGGAACCATGCAAAGCAGAGTGTACATGATAGGTCAACAGCATCCACTGTGTGTCTCCTGAGTTCAAGCTCCCTTCCGCAGCAACTCTGAGATGCAGGTCCTGGTTTGGGCACCAGAGTGATCGAATGCTTACCTAGTGATTTCTGTGAGTCTTTTCAAGAACCGTCTATTGTCGGCAATTACAAGGGGAAATGTTTTTCGTAGGGAAATAATATGTTTCCCTTTCCGATCAGTGAAAATTCCTAAGCTCTTCTATTACTGAAGACTCTCGTTTACAAATGACTAAAAATGGTAAACATAGCTTACCGGTTAAACAAAAGGGGGGTGGGGGTATTGAATTAAGGAGGAAGGGGAAGGGCAGATGTTTCAGGCAGGGCTCTAGCCAGGAGTTCAAATGATGCCATCGGATCTCGTGCTCTCTCTGCCTTCCTCTCTTCGTTCTCAAACATGCTCCGTTCAGGGGGTGGCAAGATGGCTCCCAGACCGCGGTGAGCTCCAGAGTCCTTGTAGCAGACACCTCCAGGGTGTTGGGGGGGATAGAGAGACACGCTTTCTTCCCCAGCACTCATGTCTCTCCTGGTCCAGGAGGCCAACCGGCTCTACCTCAGTCATCCGCCCGCTCAGGAGAATGTGGTGCTTGGAACCGGTGTCTTCCTCATCTGTCCACTCTGCCATCCTAGTGTGTTGGACTTTTCCCCTTCGAGCTTCCTTCCTCATGGCCTCAGTACAGCTCCAGAAGCTCCACACATCACCTCCTCACCAAACACTTCCAGAGACGGGAAAGAGAACATGGTTTCCTGGGCCTCCTTTTTATTTTATTTCAGTCATTTATTCCCTCATTTATTAACAAAAATATTTGTTGGGCCTCACATTTCTAGGGGTTCTTTATATATTCTCCAAGTGAGCACTTCGCCAGATACTCTGAAATTATTCACATTCATACTTGGAGCATTTTCTTTATCCTCCTGAACGTGGAAATGACCTGAGAGCATTTAGCTCGTACTCCTTTATGTTCATCTCCTGTGACATTGTCAACGAGTATTTTAGTTCATGCCTAGGCTGTTTGTCAGTTTGCTTGTTCCCTCTTCCTCCAGGAACTGCTTTGAAGAGTCATGACAACCCGAGTTTGGGTGAAGACTGGGCAAAATAGAACCTGCACTTTCCATGCTAACATTTTTCATAACAGTGCTAATGTTACACAGCTATCAACAGGATGTTTCATGTTTAACACCATGTTTCCTTGGACTCCATCACCCTAGTGACAAGAGCCAGGCCGTCCTTCAGAATGCTGGGGAGGTAATGGTAGTCCCTCCAGCCATGGACCAGTTCAGCAAGTACGTGTGTGAACAGACCCATCTGAAGATACCCCAGCTCCCAGCCCCTCCAAAGCTTAACTTTCACATCCGGGAGTCCTGGGATTCAGGCATCACGATGGTGAGGTTAGCTCTGTTGTTGCCTCCCTCCAAGGCCCACGAGTACTCCAAAGAGGGCTGGGAATTCCAGAAGGAGCCAACCAAGTAGGCTCTCAGAGGAAGCCACCAGCCCCAGTCAGGAACAGGCGCAGGGACACCATAGCCTGGGACCCCATTCCAAGGGCAGCTCCCGGCCTTGCCGGCTCAATAAAAGACTTTGGAAGTGTTAAAACAAAAAAATCTATGTAGGCTACATCCCGAGGAGAGTTACAGATACCATTTGGTCTAGTACTGGTCTCAGACATCTCTTGAACTTCTGCTGAAACACTGCTTTCTATTAATTTTTAAAAATGGAGATAAAGTTTACAGACAGCGAACTGCACAGGTCTTCACTGTAAGAGTCAATGACTTTGACCAATGTCTCCATCTGTGTAACCAATGTCCCCATCAAGGTGTACAACAATTCCATGTTTCTGAGTCTGCCTGTGGGTAACTGCTATTCTGGTTTCTCTATCCATGAAGCAATTTCTCAATCAAAGGAACCACGTAGTTGTTCCCTTTTGTGTCTAGGCTATTTTGTTCAACTTAATGTTTGGAGATTCATTGACATTGTTGCATGTATCAGTAGTACATTCTTCCTCTCTTTTTGCCCTCTCATAGTAATATCCCCTTTTTCATTCTTGGTATTGGTAGCTTTTGCTCTGTCTGCTTTTATTTTTGTCATGAATAGTCAGCTTTATGATGATTTTATTGATTTTGCTGGTTTTACTGGTTTTTTACAATGAACTATTACTTTTATTAATGCTTTCTATTGTATATTTGCTTTCTAATTTAATGTTTTGTGTTTTTTTTTTTTTTTTTGCTTACATGTGAACTATGATTTGAAAATGATTATTTTTTGCTCCTTTCTTCTGCCTTTATGTTTTCCTCACTACCGGCCATAGTCATTGTTATTCCCTGATATAAAGAAAAAATGCAAAATGTGTGCACCTTATTGCGCATAAATTTTACCTCATTAGAAAAAAGGAACTGCAAAATATTGATCTGTAGTTAATGACATGCCTTCGATAAAATATTCAGATGTTAACTACTTGATAGCTGCAATTTATTCTGCAATGCAGCAAAAAATGAGGGGTCAACAATGGGTGGATCAATATGTGGTAAGTACCGTAAAATATTAATTACAGGGCGCCTGGGTGGCTCAGTTGGTTAGGCGACTGCCTTCGGCTCAGGTCATGATCCTGGAGTCCCGGGATCGAGTCCCACATCGGGCTCCCTGCTCGGCGGGGAGTCTGCTTCTCCCTCTGACCCTCTTCCCTCTCGTGCTCTCTGTCTCTCATTCTCTTTCTCTCAAATAAATAAATAAAATCTTTAAAAAAATATTAATTACATAGTAGAGATGGTAGATACGTGGGTATTCACCACAAACTTCTTTTAACTTATTTCTTTTTTTTACCTTTCACCCCCTTCACCCATTTCTCTCACCTCCCATCCCCACCTCCAGCAACCACCAATCTCTCCTCTGTATCTATACGCTTATTTTTCTAAAAGTAGAAACATTTGTTTTTGTTTTTAGATTCCAGTATGAGAGAGATCACCCAGTATTTGTCTTTCTCTGTGTGACTTATTTAGCATGATGTCCTTGAGGTCCATCAATGTTGTCCCAAGTGGCAAGATTTCATTCCTTGTTATGGCTGAATAATATTCCATTGTATGGGGGCACCTGGGTGGTGCAGTTGGTTAAGTATCTGACTCTTGGTCTGGTCTCAGGTCGTGCTCTCAGGGTCATGAGATCGAGCCCCCGCATAGGGCTCTGTGCTGGGTGTGGGACCTGCTTAAGATTCTCTCT